TAAATGATCCATCTAGCATACCATAGTTCTGGACTCCAGAGGTCCAGATGAGGGTGCTGGCAGATTGAGCTCTCTGAGGGTGACATTAGCATCCCTCCCAAGCCTTTTTTCTTCACTTGCTGTGGGGCTCATAATCTCCGTGTATCCCTCTGTCTTGACTTTTCTCCATTTATAAATGACACCAGTCATTTGAATGAGTGTTAAAGTAGTCATCACATTTTAACCTGATTTTTTTCTGCAATAACTATCTCCAAATAAGGAATATTCTGAGGTTTTGAGGATTAGAATTCCAATATATTTCTCTCTTGAAAGTGCATGATTCTCCTCAACAAATGTGAATGCTTAAATTTTTAAAAACTTCTTTAGAATAAAAGACACGTTGTCATCAGTCCCCCTCCAAATAACCTCTCTTTCTTCTAACATACTTTGTTTTTCCATTTTCTGAAGCAGTTCTGGGGGTACTCTTTCCTGAGTGTCTTCATAAGATGTGCCTAAACAAAGTATCCTGGGATTTCCGCTGTCATGAGCCATCCAACAGAAAGGCAGCTCGTGAAACCTGGTTGTGTGTCCTCATCCACCTTATTCACTGGGTCTGGCATTTGTGAGTTCTTGATCATCCCCAAAGTCAGACTGACATGAAAGGCCAATGTTTGAATGGATTCAGGGTTTGAAGCAGCCACATCTGACGTCACTCATGGAAAGAAACTTTACTATTGATGTCTTCCCACCTCTCATGTTAGTAATGCTCTGCACTTCGACATGGCCATAAAAAAGATTATATTAGGCAATATTTACAAAAGAAAATGATATCACTATTTACAAAATTCATTTAAGACATTTCATTTTTTGATGATTTTTAAAGTTTTAATCAAGTGATTAAATTAAAGGGCCAAGTTGGGCTTTGTTAAATGGGTCACAGTGCATGTTAAATAGTTCACAGTACATGTAAAGGCCAGAATGCTCATTTTACTGGTCACAAAAGACCTTAGCACACAATAATATTTAAAATAATAAATAATATATTATTATTTTATTGCTATCCTAGGAACTGTTTTACCAACATCAGCTAAACTTGCTTCTCCACAATTCTGATTTTCTACTGCCCTGTAAGTTGTATATCTTATTGTTCTGGTTCACTTCATTGTTGAAAGGAGTAAATCATTATGAAGCTCTGACAAAATTATAAAGTGGGAATGGGCAGGTTTCAAGGATGAAAACTCGGCCTCAGCTGCCTGCCCTTCCCAGCCCTGGCCCTTCCTCTCAGTTTGGAGGGTCCTCACTCTCTCCTGTCACACCTGCATGGATCTGGAGGGTGACCTGAGCGACACCTTGTCCAGTTGTCCATCTCCTCTCCTCTGGCCTGAGCACTTGGCTAGTTCTCCCTGCATCTCCATTTTCTATTAATGCTTACTGAGCATCACAGCTATGATAGGTGCCCTACAGCAAGGAAAGCTACACAAAGTCACTTCAGCCACTAGGGAAGCCAAAAGATCTTTATTCCCCTAATACCTCCTTTCCCCTGCAAGATCACAATCTGCTTTCCAACCATTGTTCACTCTTAAGAGAAAATTTACCACTTTCCTATGGCTTTACGCTCTCTCCTGGACTATTATTCATTTATTATTATTATTATTTATTTATCTGTTTCCTTTGTCGTGAACAACATTTATGGGTTAAGAATTCAGGTATGAAGCCCTAAAGGGATTCTTGCTATGTTGACTACACAAAATAACTCCTATTCTCAGCCACTCCTATTCTCAGCCACTTGACTGAGATGATGCATACAGATTCTTCTTATTCTAGTCATAAGCTAGTATCATGTTTCCCTTTATGCAAATGTCCCTTTGGGATACTTCTGAGATCAGGGACCCCAGCCAAAGACATGGAGAGAGGCTCTGTCCTGGCCATCAGGTGCTCTGAGGTTCGCCAGGATCTCTGTGAACTCCTCCCAGTCTCAGACTCTATCTTCACAGGGTGTCTGCAGAATGTTCACAGCACAGCTCCTGGGGACTGCAAAGGCCTGGGATGATCCAGCAGACCCAGGATCCAAAGAGGACAGAGGAGCAGTCTGCAGGGCTCTAGCTCCCCGATGTAGGTGCTGCAAACCCCATCCCCCAGATGCTGCCTTTCGGAGGCCTTATTAAAAGCAGGAAGAGGGGAACTCTCGAGAGGAATAAGCAGCATCTCACTAAACAGCATTTCCTGGTCTTTTTGTTCCTTACTGTCATTAATAGTGTAGATGAACCCAAATCAGGAATGTTGTTTCTCTTTTCTATAACCCCTACTAAATAGTAATTGCAGTGTTTTTTCTAGCACCATACGAAACATGTTTTAGATTCAAGAAAACTATTATCCATCACTGACTTCTGTGATCTGATTTGAAGGTTTTTATTATTTATTTTTATTTTTTTGGTGTCAGGTGAGGAGTTAAAATAAAACTTCATTTTGTGATTTTATTATGGGGACAAAGAGTATAGACTTAAAATTTTTTATTTTAATGTTAAAAAGGAAAAGAGTAAAACAACAAAAATTCAGAGAAACTGAGGATGAGGGGCTAAGAAGATGCAATCTGTAAAATTAACGGCATACGGATGCAAACCATGGGATGAATCAGCAGCATGACCGTCTGTTAAATTGAACCATGCCTTTCAGAGACAATAAATTTTTAGCTAGTTCTCTGTGAGAATAGAGTGAGTCCTAGAAATCATTTCTTCCACAAGTCTGTGGGAAGCTGGAAGCTCCATAAGAAGATTTATTTTGTTTGAAGATTTAGGTGATATTATATCTAATCATAAAATGAGCAATTTCAGCATCACAAGCTGAATTCATTGATGTGATTATCTCCCGGGAGGAACAAACAGAAAGGGTGAGGAATCATGGCCAAAGATTGGCTTCATTTTCCTCTTCTTTTTAACAAATTGAGGTTTTGTTTATGTGCACCCTTGATTTCTCTGGGGAAGAAATAAGAAACATATGGGAAAATTAATTTAAAGAAGCAACACAAACCAGTAACTGTGAGAAGAAATCACAGCTTTAATGAACATAGAAGAGAGCGGGCAAGTTAGGGATCAAAGTGCATCTGAAGCGGAACGTGAGCCTGGACCTGTGCGGGTGATGTCAGGTGGATCATCACAGGAGCAAAGGACATTCTTGTGCCTGCAAAACATCTGGACTCTCCGTGGTTTCTTATTCAAGCTCATAACACAGTTATGATAAATTAAGACTTTGGATGACATAATTAAATCTGACTCCATCTCGAGCTCAAAGTTCTAGAGCCAGGCTTCTGTGAGAGTCAGTGAAATTAGAGAAGCAATTTTCCTTGTAGAGAAGACCACTTAAAATACAAATGCACGGAGGTTACAGCTAATTAACTTTCTACTGTGCATATATTTTTCTCTGACAAGCTGACTATATATTTTTTAAATTAATGCTACATATGTTGATTTTTTTTTTTTTTTTTTTTTTTTTTACATTTTTACAAAAAGTTGAATTGGGCCCTAAGCCATGAAATGCATTTTGGGAAACTCTGAAAAGATAGTCAAAAAGTAGAATCTGGGAAATAATTTAACTATAGAGTTCCATTAGTTTTGAATTTAAAAAGACCAAAGTCTTTAAACTCAAGATTCTGGGTTTCAGATTTGCAACTGTGCTTGGATCATGCATGAAGAGAACCTGGGCACTGATGATTGTCATACCTCACCTCCTGGAGAAGGCTTAGCTCCTCATGGCCAGCCTTGCCCAGCTCCAGCCTCCTCCACATCTCAGCCTCTGCACCTTCATTAAACAGGGGCACAAAGGGCTTGGCCCCACTTCAGGGATCTTACACTCTGTTGCAGTCCCACTTTGATGGTGAACTGAAGTCTCCTGGTGATTGAGTCACACACTGGGAGTCACATGCACAGGTAAAGGCAGCTGGGCTTGGAGCTTGAATCTCACTCCCTGGCTCACAGTCTTCACCTCAGCCTTCTGCCTTTTCTATGCACCCATCACCTGTGTATGTGAGGCAGGAAGTGCAGAGTGAATGTAAATGGCCCGCATGGGGACTGAACCCATGACCTCGCGTGATTATCACAGGGCAACCAACTAACTGAATGGCAGGAGCATATTATCCAGATTGCTCCTCAGGCTCTGTGATTTCTGTTTTTTTAAAGAAAAGTTACAAAAGTCTAGCAAGAAAAGCTGTTCTATCTTAAAGCACACACTCAGTTGGGCACATTGGTCCTTTGTCTAGATCATTCTACAGTCTTTGAGTTAGGTCTAAATACAAGTTTGCATGCTGTACACACAGCCATGTAAGTGTGCACATTCACAGCTAACTGAAGACAGTGTGAACCTCTTTTGGATCTGTGGGATGCATGCTTGGGTCTGTTTCTGTCCTCACGTGATTAACATAGAGTGTTCAGTCTGGACATACACTGGTGCGTGACCAAGGCAACACCAACCTTTCATTTTTCATTCAGTCTCCTACACTTTATAATGACTGTCATGATTGAAACTCTAGTGACAAAAATATTGGATATCACAAGAAATCCACTGTTCCTTAAAGTGAAAAGATTGTGTATACTCATTCCCTTTATTTGCTGCGGATTTGCTCCAAGGCCACTGGTAGAGCCCTTTCCAGGAATGGCACCAAGGCCTGCACATACTGTTCTGTGCGTGTGTCTTTCAGTATTGCTACACAGCAGCAGACTGATTCCATTCTTCATGGCCTCCTCTGTGTCACTGCTCTGTGCTTTGGAGTCACTACCCAGGAAAACACAAGGATAAAGAAACAGTAGATCTGGTAACTGTGATGGCACCTAAGTGACTGACCTGTGTGTGACACGCAGGACAGAGTGAAGACTCCCAGCCTGGGAGGGATGACTGGAGATTTCTTCACATGACTCAGAGCAATGCATATTTTAACCATTAGGAACTGGTATTTCCAGAATTTTCTAGATGCTTCAGTTCTCAAGCAGATGAGAAGGACTCTCTGAAGTTTAGCTTTTCTTTCTTCCTCTGGGAGCATCAAGAATTTTTGCATGCAGTGTAATGGATATTACTCTTTGTAGGGTAAAACCATGATGAAGAGCTGGTTTGGTGCTGACGGTGCAAGATGGCTTTATTTGTGCCCCGACCATTTCGACACACTAGCATAGTAAGGTGCTGGAAAGAGCTGAGCCTAGGTCCGGCTTGCCAGGTCACTTCCACCAGAAAATGGAAGAGGAGGTCATCCACTTGTGTCCAGAGAAGAGAGTCAGATTCACTGGGCTTGTTCTGTGATCTCCCACAAAAAGCAATTGCTTTCTCATCGCCAGGCATTTCTGAATCTAAGTGAGAAAGGGAAAAAAAAAAAATTCAAAAAACGCTTGCCATATTCTTAGTACCATTTGCCTTGACAGGAAAAACAACAGCCTCCAGCCTCCTCAGCTTATTCCTCATCAGTGAACTCTTCCCCAAACAAGACACTGCATATCAGCCATTTGGGACCCCTTCCATCACGTTGTAACGAGCTCGTCGATGCCGTTTGTACTCACTGCGAGGTGTACCAGAGCCAAGAGCAGGGAGTTGGTAATCTGGGCACCCACAGTTGTGATGAGGCTTCTTCAGTGTAATCGTCCAAATCAAATATTTGGCTGTGCTTCTTTAGATGCGATGTCTCATATTGTCACTGTGGTGCTGGCACAGGAGGGAGCTGGCACTGGAAGAGAGGCGCCAGGCAGAGGGGGGCAGGGAGAGAAAGGAGAGGGGAGCAGAGGCCTCTGGCATGTCCTCTCCCAGCCCCACGCACACCTTTGGCCCTTTGTTCCTCCAGGCTGTCCCTCTAGGATGACCAAAAAGCTTGGATGAGGGCCAAAGCTGCACAGAGCTGACAAAAGGGAGACAGACATGGAGGCTGATCCTTCTGTCATGCAGCAAATGTTAAATGCCTGACCCCTGCTGCTGCCATCTGACCTCTGCGTGCCCGCTTCCTTGTTCCTCTCTACAATGGGGACATGGGAACATGTCTTTGCACTAGTGCCTTCCACCATTTTTAGATAAGTTGGCGTCCTCATTCTCTGACCAGCAGCCCTGTGAGCTAAGAGGTCCTCGGGTTCATAGTGTTCCTGGTACTCAGGAGGAGCTCAGAGCATGGTCTCGGCTCCATGCCCTCTCCTTGTCCAGCTTTTGGGGGAAAATTTATTGCTTTTCTAGGAAGCATTCAGTCTTTTATCAGAAATGTTCTCCTGGAAAAAATTTGTGGCTGTCTCCAAAATTTGCCACCAAATTAATTAATTATTTGAATGGAAGATTGATATTTTGGACATAGTTTCCCCCTAACAGTCCTCAGCCCCTCTGCTGTCCTTGGTGCCCACCTTGGGTGGACCAGAGACGTGGCTTTTCTGTATACCCTGCCTTACCTTGGTTTGGTGGAGCTCAGTCTCCTGGTCATTCTCTGCTTTCTAAAGTGCAGTGACTTACCAGGAAAACCTGGAGCTGCCTGTTACTCTTCAGCCCAGTGCATGTGCTTTTTAGACCATGCATGCATTTTCTTGACTGGATTTCCAAGCTAGAGTTCCAAATGCTACCTTGAAAGGAATTCCCCATTCCTGAATTCCACCTGCTCCAGGTTCCATTGTTCCTTTGTTAGACATCTGATGCTGTGCTGATGTCTGCCTATTCCTTCTTCATCAGATGTCTCTGATATGGTGCTTCACTTCCTGGATTCCCAAAATCTACAGATCTCCTCTAAAGTGTGTCTTCCTAAGCACATGCCAATTTTTATGTCCTTGTTTCTCTCAAGACTCCTCCATCATAATGTCATTTTCCATACAGATCAAGGTGATAAACTGCCTAAAATACAATGAATCAGAACAGTTCTTGGAACAAAGTCAGACTGCAATAGTGCTTCAAACAAAGTAGGGTGATTTTAAGCTTGATTAAGCAGGAGAATGCAATGCATGGTAGACTCTTAGGCAGATATAAAATTGATGCAAAGAACATTTAACACTATAAAGAATAGATTGAAAATGGGGGAAAACAATAAAGACCAATAAAGTGTTATTTCAGTGAAAGAGTGAAGAAACTAGCAGGTGGGATTGGAAAGAAAGGAAACCCTGAGATCTATTTCAAAGGACAGAATGACAGTGGTTCATTCATTAGTCTCTCATCAAAGACCACTCAGTAATTCCACACAGAGTTATTGAGAATTTTTTTTTATGGACAAAACTATGTCCTCTCAAAATTTATGTATCAAAGTCATAACCTCCAGCACCTCAAAGTATGAATTTATTTGGAAATCAGGTCCTTTCAGATGTAAGTAATAAGGATATGGATTATACCCAGTAAAGCATATTCCTAATCCAATATGACCTAGTGTCTATAGACAAAGGGAAAATTTGAGCATAGAGAGATATGCAGAGAGAAAAGGCCATGTGAAGAGGTCACGGATAAGACCCTTGCATGTAAAGCCAGAAGAGAGGCTTGGAACAGACCCCACCCTCACAGCGCTCAGAGGGAGCCAACTCTGCTGGCACCTCTCCATTGTATTTCTTGTTCATTGAATCAATGATTCCATAAAACGCTATTGCTTAAGTTGCCCAGTTTGTGAGACTTCACCAAGGCAACCCTAGCAGATGAACACCATGGGAATGTGACAGCCTCTTGTTATGGTTTATGTTTAGATTTCCCCCTACACACACACCAAGTCTCATGCAATCATGGACATGGCCAAATCCAACATTTGTGATTGGTTCATTGTCTGGCACTTGGATTGGTGGTGTGAGTGCTGCACTCACCCAGGGATGGAGCCAGCATAGAGTGTAAGAGTGGGAAGAAGGCATGTCTATCTTTTTCACTGTTGGTGCTGGCTGTTTGTGGCCTACCCAAACCACTGCCCCTCAGCCATGTCATCTTTCCTTGGAGCCAATTAAGTATGAACTAATACCTCCAACCTGGAAGAATTAAACATTTGCTTCCCTAACTTTGGACATCAAGACACCTTAAGACACCCCTCTTCCAGATACAGGGAACAGAGTAGGGCAGGGCTGTTCTCTGCACTGAAGGATAATTTGATTTAATGTACAAACAAATAAAAGCACATGTGAATGAGCTTTACCGAGCAATTAAAGACTATCACCTGGGAAACACGAAGAAGGTGCCATGAGGTGATGATATCCATTCAGGAAGTTGAAGGGTGGGGGGAAAATGTGTGAGAAGTGGGAGGACAAGGGCATTCCCAGTGGAGGCAGGATGTGGGGCCTGCAATAGTTTAGGGAGCACCCTGGGATGTGGGAGAGGGGACTGAGAAATATGCAGGGATATGCAGAGGTCAGAAAAAGGGTGATCCAGATAAGGAGGTTGGATTTTCCTCTGTAAATGAATCAGGAACAAAGCACATTTTGAAATCAGGTCAGTGGCCAATGATTTGGTATTTTCGAGGGTAACTTCAGCCACATATAAAATACAGAAGAGTGAGAGGGAGACAGCAGGCTGGCCGGATGTCCACATAAGAGGTTGTTAGGCAAAGGCTAGAGCAATAGCAGAGGGACAGAGAGCAGAGGCAGAGACTCAAGAGCATTTTGATCACATTCCTTGAGTTTGTAACCACAGAGCTAGGTGATAAGAATGAGTAATAAAGGATGATAATAAAGGATGAGTAATAAGTTGAACTTAAAGTGAGAGGAATTAGTGTAATACCTGGTGAGGAGTAGAGGCCCAGAGAAGTTTAATTATCCATGTGGTTTTCAGTTTGCCGAGGTAGGAACTGAGGTGCAACTACGCACTGAATGCCCGTATTCAGTGGAAGAATTGGACAGGGTGAGATTGATTTGTTCCTCTCCTCCTTCAAAATGTTCAGAGTGTTCCTGCCAGCGATTGGCAGCGGGTAGAGTTTTTCTTTAAAACAAAATACATTGTCAGAACTATTTTGAGAATGAGTAAAAAGCACATATTGCAATGCTAAGAATATTCTGACCTATAGCTTCCTTTCACAAAAACAGAGAAGCACAAGGAAAACAGCAACAGATAATTTCCATGACACATAATTTATCCCAAAGGCATTTTAATTTTTTTAAACCACACGGTTCATTTTAAAAAAGCTGTCCCATTCAAATCAAACCTTAACATACATATCATGCATACAGAGCAAACTCTCAGCCAAATGAAAAGAGGCAAAGCTCCAAAATAATTGGGAAAAAATCTGATTGAGAAGAATTGTGAAAACTCTTGCCACCAAATTTTCAAGTGCCCACTTCTCCCCTCCAGTATTGGCACAACTGAGGTACCACGCCTTATTCAGTGATCAGTTCTCCACATCCCCTCTGGATCCCACACCCATTAAAGAAGTCCTGTGAGAAAGTGCTCTGGTTCCTGTTTCCATATATCTGGTCTACCTCGTTTGGTCACAGTTTTTTAAGTGTCTCCCTCTCAACAAGTTTTTTCCCAACCACTTCCCACCTCACAACCTGTTATATGCGTAGGACTGTATAATGATGATTTTTTTTTTCTAGTGCATTGCACAATTCTGGATCTGCTAAGTCTGCAGCCCCAACTTCACACAGGCAACGTATCTCCTGATTTCTTCACAGTATCAAACCTATATTTGCCAGAGATATGAATAAAAGACCTGAGTCTGACACAATGGCTATTACCAACATTTCCTTACTCAAACATTCCAGCAGTTTGCCTCTATTGACTGCAGTATCCTCTTGAAACATTTTCTGTTTTTCTGTAAGTTTCTCCAACTGTTCCCTTTGAAGCCTTTTTCTGATCTTTTTCCTTTAGCTAGTCCTCAGATCATTGTTTCCCCAGCTCTTCTAGGAATAAAAAATTGATTTTTTTTCTCCCATCCTACTTTCCTTTTGTAGATGTAATGAGAATCAACTTTTTCTAAGTGAGAAGTCTTGTGACTTTAGCTTCCAGGTAGGGATTAGTGTTCGCCAAGCTCTCACAGTGGGTTCAGTCTGTACTCACCACACAAGCCTCTCCCGGGACTCTCCTTCACCCTGAGGCTTTGATGCCTACATAAACCTGGTGACTCCCCATTCCTCTTCCTTCTGTAATTGCCCATAGTTGTTGTTTTAGCTTTCCATTGCTGGAACACAGTACCCAAAACTTGTAACTTAAAAGAGGAGAGGTTTAACTGGGCTCAGAGTTTCATGAGACTCAGTCACACAAGTTTAGAAATGCTATATAGGAAGTGTTCATTTTTTGATCATTTAATCAAGAAAGACATCTTTAGAAATCGATATTGCTTATTCATATGCATTATTTTTTCAAAACGTTGAAAAATTATTTGAGAAGTTTGAGGAAATCTATCAAGCATTCTAAAATCCATGCATTTCACCTTCCTCTCCTTTAGAGTTTAACAACTTACCTGCCTATTGGGTCCTAGGACTTCTTTGGAAAGCTGTTAATGGTTACATGGTAGAGGTAGTATGTGTATTTTCTTTCCTTCATTGAAAATGACAATTATCCTAACATTTCTCCTTAAAAGAAAGACTGCTGGTCTGAAGAGAGAAGTAAAGTGCAAGTCAGCAGTTTTTAAAATTTATTCCGATTAATTATTGACATCATATAACAATCCCCCGCTAAGTCGCTCTTCCCTGCCCTTGTACTCTGCCTACTACCCACCTGTAGGTTCCGTGTTCTCTGAGTTATTTAATGTGTATGCTCTTTGTTCATGTGTGTGTGCATGTGTTCATCCTTGGTGAAAGATTAGTCTCTCCTTTTCTATAGAGTATAACCTTTTCATTCCACCAAAGTTAAATATTTCTGCAGTTCTTATCAGGGCAAATCAGCAACTTGTGCCTTCAGGTCTTTTCCCCTAATGCTTAGATGCAAGGATTTTCAAATCTTTCAGCTCTGCCTTTTGGTTTTTGCCTTCATTTTCTTTACATATCTTATATACTTTTATGTTTTCTTCATTTTAAAGCTTCCATCTTAAATACAACCCAATGGCTTCTTAATATGAAATATTTAGACTTCATTTGGAATACCACTGTTGGTGGTGAGGTTAATATTGGGTAACTCTGTTATTATAATTTATTAATGTAATTTGTTGTTAAACTGTGACCCATTTCACAATTCATTTTGTTTCTTGTGTTTTTTTTTCTTTTCCTTTTTCTGTGTGAAATAATGTTAGTCATCTCTGTCATTAACCTCAATTGTTTTATGTACACATAAAGCAGTACTATAAAAATGGGACACTTTTCATGCATGGTACTGTTATTTTAATGGGCACTCAGATTGAGCAACTAAGCATGCTTGTGTGATTGACTGTACTTTAACATTGTGTTTCTGTCACTTACCAGAAAAGGTGAGGGTCTTATATTTTAATTCAATTATACTTTCCCATTTGTATTATCTTCATGAATTTTAAGTCTATCTTTAATTAAACACCACATATTTGTTATTGATATTATTGTCTTATTTGGTGACTATTCATATAGACTGGCCAAGTATTTATTCTTTTACCAGCATTTCTTTTTCTACATAGGCTCGTTTTCTTTCTGTGTTCAAATCATTTTCAGAATCACTTTTAACACATAGTCCTGAGGGAGGGGTGTCGCTTAAGTGTGCTCTGTTCCTCCCTGTCCAAAAACATCTTTCTTGGGGCTGGGGATTTAGCTCAGCGGCATAAGCACCTGCCTTGCAAGCAGGCAGTCATGAGTTCGATGCCTGGTACCGACAAAAAGGAAAAAGACATGGGACTGGGGATTTAGCTCAGCGGCATAAGCGCCTGCCTTGAAAGCAGGCAGTCGTGAGTTCGATCCCTGGTACCGGTAAAAAACGAAAAAGCCAAAAAATAAAAAAATAAATAAAAAATAAAAAATAAATAAAAAAAAAAAAGGAAAAAGACAAAAAAAAAAAAAAATCTTTCTTTTGCTTGGGCCTTCAGGAATCATTTTCCAGGCATGGAATCTCAGTGCAGCAGTTCTTCCACTGCTTTCTGGCTTCTACTCTCACTACTGCTGCTTACAGGATACTATGATTTTTTAAATCCTCCCTGCTAGCTGACGCGGCTGCCTTTTAAATATCTGTCACTAAACTACTATGTGTTGATTGATTTTTGCTTTTAAAAATTTAGTCAATTTGTTTCCAATTTTTATTTTACTTAGAGTTTACAGCACTTTGGAATATGTGACTTCATGTCTCTCATTAGTTTTAAATATTCTCGGTATTTTTTTAAATAGTGCTTCTACTTTATTCTCTCTTCTTTCTGATGACTCTAGTGACAACGGGTTTTAGTTCAATGGTTTAACATGACATGTATATTATAATCATTAAGATTATATATCCCTATATATATGCTATATTCAAATATATTAGTATATATGAATACAGGTATATATCATATATATGTATGTATGTATTTTGTCTTTTGCACTATTTGCCATTCTGTTTCTCTGTGCTTTAGCATAGACATGTAAATGTCTTCGACAGACTTGTCTTCCAGTTCACCTACTCTCTCTTCAGCTGTGTGCAATCAGCTATGAATCATTCAATAATAATATATATGAATCTTGAAAATTTCCATATATTTCACTTTTATGATTTTTAAATCTTAGCAAAATTCCTCTACTATTTGAGCAAATGAATCAGTTTGTTTAAAGTCTAAGCCTGCTAATTGTAATGGACACATTCATTTTGTCTCCAATTATTCTATTTTTTTTGGTAGATCCTGGACTGGTGTGAGAACTTTCCTCCAAATCAAGGGTGGGTGGAGTTGATATCTCATGGGAATCTCTGATCTAAGGAAGGATGCAGAAGTGAGCACTGCTTACTCTGTCAAGTCCTACACACATTAGAAAGGCTCACCCTCCTGTAGGGACTCTGAGATACACAACCTCGCCTCTGTGTTTCTGGAAAGAAGCAAGTTTTCTTCCTTTCACCTGATTCTGCTTTATAAAGACACAGGTGCGATGGATAGAGAGTGGGCTGGATGGCAGCCGAGTCACATACTAGGGAACTGTCCTGTGTAGGTCACAACTTAAAAAGCTGTTGATCCCAGTCCTGCATGCTCATTGCCACACAAAGCACAAGGTACACAATTTTTGTATGTGTCTCCTGGGCACATAAGTTCTGAATGTGCTTATTCCATACGGTGTAAAGTCTGATATACATATGTACATATGTCTGTTGTCAAACTTTTATGTAACTACGATGTACTGAATATTAATTTCATATTTAACTCTGTTCTCAAAAATATATAAAAACATTTTCGGCAAGGGTGAATGCAAAGGGTGTGAACTGACAGAACAGGTAGCTAATGCAGTCAACTTTTCATTCATAGGATCGTGTCTTTTGTTGACAAATACACACTTCTGCCAAGACAATGATGACAAAAGTAACAATTACAGAGGGAGAGAAAACCACTGGAGCAGCCATGCCGAAGGGATCCAGTTGGAGGTGTCCTGTTGTTGAAGCTGAATGCAGTTTCTCTAGGGGGTGCCCTTCAGGCAGTTTCTGAAAGAAATGGAGTGGCTGATGGTGATTTCAGTCCCCAGGTGAGAGGCTCAGATATAAGCATCAACTGCACAGCGCGCTTTTTCTTTGCTACCTCTCTGTGAAGTCTGTTTCCTACCAGAATATCAGACTCTGAAGCCTTGAAAGAAGTTGCAGCAGCCAAGAGAGGAGTTTCTACACCCAGCGAGGGTTTTCTTCAAATAACAATTTCCTCCCATTTCTTGTCCTCCGATATTTGAAAAAGGTCTAATTCTGACATCTATTTAAACAAACTTATTTAACTGAATAGAGTCTTACTATAACAAAACAGAAAGCTGTTTCAGAGGTGGTGCAACAAGAGAACCTTGATATGTGGGATGATTTGGGGTGATTTGGGCCTTTGAGGATCA